TCGTACAGGTGTGCATAAAGCTACTCGTACTAGTCCACGTAAACACTGCTGATATTAATTGACTAGATTTGAAAGTCACCTCAAGCTTGGGCTTTTTTCCACCAATCATGTGCAGAGGTCAATGTACCTGTCCTTGAACTTTTACAGTGGGTCCGAACTCGGTGGGCCTCGCTCTTCACATGCCTTGCTCACCTTCTTCTGTTGCAGAAGGTGCACATCATTTTTATTTGGTCAAATATAATAATCATGTACTCATTAATCACAGGGTGTCAACTGCTTTGTACGTCTTGCCGACGATAGCAATGAAGTGCCAAATTTGCGAAAGAAGCAGTATGCTGACTTTAAGTTAAGTCAGAGTGACTGGTTCCAGCTTTCGCTTCTCCACGAAGTCCTTCAGGTGCGTCGTTTAATTTATCTTCTAGTATTACACTAACTTTCACGTCTTCTTACAGGAACCAGCCAATGCCACCCAGAGTTTTTCCAGCTCAAAAGACCCAACAGTCTGGCGAGCAATTCCGGTGTTGGAATTCTTGCAGCAAAGCTGGCAAAACATGGCGGCCGATGACAAGTTCTCAAGTGTGGCTGATGCATTGCACGCTGGTCTCAAGAATTTGGGCAAGTGGAGCCGGAAAACAGACGAGACAGACGTCTACTTCATTTGCTTAGGTCCGTCTCCATACATGATACTTTCACTAACTAACACTTATGTTGAACAGCCCTTGATCCTAACTATAAACTTGAGTATGCACGATCACAATGGGACACTGATGCCTTTGACGAAGGCAAGAAAAAACTCGAAGCTGCAGTAAGTGATGCTGAGTGATGGTCAAAAGTTCTTGCTAACTCCTCGACAGTTCGATCAGTATCACGCACCTGTTGCAGCTGCCCCTCAGCAGTCACCGTCACCCATTCCAGAGTCCAGTGAACGACTCGGAGCTACATAATATGGGCATTCGTGGATGCGCTCCACAATTCTAGCTCGCCAATCATCCGAACAGAACATTGATCCACGTCACGAGCTCACCCTATACTTGACTAGCCCATTGGAGGAGGTTGCCGATGTTGTCCGTTGGTGGGGGGTAAGCATTTTACTGTGCATTTACTAGTCTTCCGAGTTATTGATGTATTTGCTAGCACCATTCTACTATGTACCCCACCGTTTCCCGCATGGCAAGAGATTACCTTGCAATTCAAGGCTCTTCGACACCATCAGAACGGGCCTTCTCAAGCGGCGGCATGACGGATGACAGTCGACGCAACCGGCTTACACCCCAGGTCTTCGAGGCATTGCAATTGTTAAAAAGTGCCTACCATAATAAGCACTGTACGAGCTGCAACTGATGCAGCAGTGCATGTTGAGCTTGATGCTAGTGTTGACAATGCTGACCTTTATCTTAGTGACACGTAGATTAGAATTCATGTTAATAGTCAGCCTCGTTCACGCAACTTTCGAACACATTGAAACGTTCAGCGTTCGAACCCAAAACCAAACGCGAACCGAACGTCCTGAACGCGTTCGAACACGTCCAGTCCAACGTTCAGCAAAATTGCTGAACCGAATGTGATGTCCAGTTCAGCGTTCAGCGATTTTTCTGGTGAACCGGACTGAACTGGACTTTTCCATCACTAGTTGAGGGGGTGTGTTGGAAGTTCAACATTGACACCATGTTTCTTAGTATTCCTTTCCTTTATTCACCATCACAGACTCTTTAGTATAGCTTTTAAACTCGTTGTATCGCACTGTTTGTACCTCAGCGGTTCTTTCATCAACACTGAGGTATAGTTCACATTCACTTTGCACGCCGTCTCTCGCTCATGTTATTTTGTCTCTAGACTCATCTCTTAGGTACTATTTAATGTCATAGCGGTTCTTTCATCAACGCTGAGACTCGTCTCTTAGACTTCTACTTACAACAGAAGTTCTGGAACTACGTTGATGCAATGCTAGAGCAAGTTCGCGAAAGTGCATACCATGAAACAGGCGCTCGTTCTGGCTTGAGGTATGAAGATGCATACCACAAGTACATGATATGCAGCCCGCCTGTTTGTTTATCCAATTGACCAATGCACAGGGCAATGATTGAAGTTCTCCAGCTTGATCTGCAGGAATTCCCTGGTCGCCACAAAGGTCCGACTGTCATGAACATGAAGGTTATGCAGCCTGTGTGGCAGGATACAATTCAGAAGAATCTGTTATGGTGAATTTGAACACTCTTTCGCACTTAATCTAGCTATAGTGATCACTGTTAATTGTCATTGTCTATTCTTTGCTATCGTTGAATTGATGTTGCGTTGTTTTCTATCCTGTTCCATTCTGAGATCTGAGTATCCACAACACTGAAAGCTCAACTGGAAGAGGTACATGTCATGTATCATGGATATATGATGTATGTATTTCATACATCCTCTAGAATGCCATGTTGGATATGTGGGTACAGATATAATCCATACATCCCCATGAATACACCTACTTAGCATTTTCGGCTGACTATAATATTGACATGTCGCTAGGGATATCACACCTTTGGTGTCCGTAGAGACAGAAATTGTATCTTGGGAAAGAGATCGCATAAGTACGTTACCTACATCCTGCAGAAGTCACCGAGACGTCGAGCAACTGAATGCTTCTGAACATACACAACGTAAATGCCAATTATATAACGTGATGGTTGTGCGAAAACCATATAAATAATACGCCTCAGATCTTGAACGAACGCTTGCCATTTTTGACATAGGACTTACAAATTGTGTGGCTTGCCGTGTACTTATATGTTCATTCACAGCGTCTATATTCGCTTTCAGCATACATATCTTGAATATCTATGAACACACACATACGTAATCTCAGGCACGCCGACCGTCTTCTACTACTTACTCGAAACCCGTGTTTTGATGGATGCTCAGCCAACATCTATACAGAGTTTGTCGACTTCGGGCCGCCGAGGTATAACGAACTATTCAAGTTATTGTTACAACGCGACCCACACCGGCCGAAGGTTATCTTGAAACCAGTAACTGGCGTTTGGCTCCTGGTCAACGGGTAGCTTTTCCTGATGAAAGTGTGAGTTATGAATCCCCTTAGACGCGCAATTATTTATAGCACCTGCATAGTGTGTTAGGTATGAAAAGCGTCCAACGTTTGGCGCGCACGCCGACTTGTTGCGTATTTGCATTTTAGTGCAAAGGTATGTATGTGATGTCTTGGACGAGTCCCAGGTTTGAATGATTGACACTTGTGTCTCTAGGATCGCTAATAAATTCATGCTTCCAACAACAAACCTCTACTAACATTCATACTGGTCTTTCCAGCAGTAAGTTTTGTGAAATCAAGAAGATCGAACTAGACGACCAATTGTGATTCGCGGCTTGTATATCCTCTCGTGTTTGATTCTACGAACACGACCGAGGAAAACATCTTGGGCTCTTCTTCAGGCCGTTTATGAAAGGCTTGGTAGCGATCATTTGACTTGTCAACTGATGCGGTCAGAGAATTCTGATGCGCCAGAGACTGTGGCCAGCTAATCTTGATGGCTTGCGTGTGGTAGTCTCATGGCCCGCTAATAGGCATTCAATCACCGACATACAATTGGATCAACAAACTTACGGCACCTATAAAAGAAGGAAGACAGTCGGTCCTTCAAGTTCTAATAATTCATTCATGCAAGATGTCGACCTCCTTCAGTCTTCCACCGTTCGACTCCTCGGAAGCTCGTATTGGCATGCTCCGACTCTCAAACATACTAGGCCCAGCTGAATGGTTGGCTTTCTACATAAGACTCATACCAACGGAGACCGTTAGTCCCTAATTTCTGAAGCGTCTGTTTGTGCACCCTGACAGTTTTTCGTGCAGCTCCGGACTGAATTGCACCTTCTCTTCATGTTGCTCGAAGGTCGGGTCGATGCTAGTGATCTTTGGCAAATTGTTGGGTGGTGCATGGTGGCAGCGCAGAACGAGGAATTGTTACGAAGTAATGATGGGCATGGTGGAAGGCGTGTGATCGCAGAGCGAACTTTCATGGAAGAGAAGTGGGCTCGATGTGGGATGGAAGTGTCTCTGCACAGCCAGGCTATCGATCACATAGAGCAGTGCAGGTTCTTTCCACGTAAGATTCTTTTACTGTGGCAGCGAACGAGTGGTCTGACACCTTGCTACTTAGAAAAGGCAGTTCCAGTCACGCACAAGTCCGACGTCAGGTCTTTCTCAACAACCTCGAGACACGTCGTTGCACCTGTGGCCTGTTCAGTAGCCGTGCAAGAGAAGTGTAGAGCTTGGTTATTGGAACAAGACATAGACATCCCTTTGGCCATCGGTCAATCCACACTTGCGCACCAAGAAAAACGAACGTCCGTCATCGTAAATGTCAGTACCGTCGTTGATCTTCTTGGCTGCTCTCACTCTCTCTGAAGTCCATTGGCCCTTCGTTCGCCCTGTTGAGTACATGGGTGACCACTCGCGTCCAAGAGGTCTTTGATAAAGCACGCAAAGTAGAACTAACCAGTCTGGCGGAGCTGATGCCAACTTACCTTGATATCAAGACTCACCATCGCGATTTCCAGTTGGAGTTACTTGTGTTGCGGACGATGAGGTGTCGCGCCCGAGCTGAGTCTTTAGTTTATTCAATGGCCATTGACAATGCCCCTGCGTCCAACGACTCCGACAGCGGTGGGCACGAATTGTTTATGTTGTCTTCAAATACTGATGTCCACCGCTGTCTTTAGATACGTTTACTCCGTCGTCTCTATCAGAGCAAATGTGTTCCTACGACGAGGACCTCAGTGATGACCACTCAGATGACGACAACATTGACTGTGACGACGTTTGGTAGTTATGAGTCTTTATATCATCGGACGCTCCCTTCGTATTTGATCCTACGGACATGACTCCTCGATCGGCATACGTTAGGGAAATGGTATTTGCTTTCCGTGACAATGATGCTCATGGTCGACAGCAGACCCGGGCGACTGTCGTTTACGGGTGACAAACCACTTCTTAATCCGGAATCGAGTAGCAAATGAAAGACCAGGTTAGGTTGCGTACGATATTACATCACATAACTTATGGCTGACTTCGAGATGAACGGGATACACGACCTTCACAACCCAAAAAACTTCTTCGGCACTTCGAACCACTTACGCTCACCAGAAACGGTGGGATGAGTCTGCCATGGAACCTTCCCTCCATGCAGGTATCCAGGGACATTCAGCTCCGACTCGTCATCAGCCGCAACATACGATTCTGAAGTATCCACTGGCTCCACCGGGCGAACTGCTTTCTCTTTCAAGAGAGACGTGGAAAGCGATGAAAAGCCGGCCTTGCCTTTCATACTGGGCTCACTGGTACCCGTCAAAGAAAGATCAGGGGTACTGGAAACATCCCCCTTACCCGGCTGGTCACCTTTTTCATCCGGTCCTATGACTTTCACATACTCGTTCGACCCCGGGTCGACCCCTCCTAATGAGAGCGACGTCTTGATTTGGTCGGACAGGTCGTGGAACTCGCCGTCTGCGGTTTCCCCTTCAACGTCTTCCTCGCCTCTGTCAGGGTGTACGTGGTCTTCTCCCCAGCCGCCGCTGCCTGCACTTGAAGCCGTGCTTGGTCGCCTGCCAAAACGGTTGATGACGCGCGCTGACATGATGGCGGTGCGCCACCTCTTGCGGGCGTCGAAGTTTTCTCTGAGACCCGAAATGACGTCGTGTTCGGTAGAGGCCTTGTGTGTTGTCAACCACTATCGAGGCCGTTAGCGCAAGGTTGCTTAGGAGATGGACTCATCACTTACATGGTTATTCAGAGCTTGTTGTGCAGTGGGTCGTTGCGATGGTTCGGGGTTCAAAACAAGTTTAATAAATGCTTTGGCTATATGGGTCGATATCAGTACAGACACAACTAACGCCATCAGTCATCGGCGCACCTTCGTCTGAGACCTTGGACCAGTACTGGTCATGAAACTCGATCTTGGCTTCTGTGGTCTCCCGAATCATCTCGTGTGTATCCTCTCCTCTGAACGGCGAGTAACCGCAGAGCAGAACATAAGCGATGATACTGTAAGTGCAGAAAATGAGGTGTTAGCGCCGTCAATTTTGATTACAAACATGGGCGTTGATGGAACAAATTAGCGCTTACCCCGTTGACCAGATATCTACTGCTTTCCTGTGCCCTTTCTTGTTAAGAACCTCGGGAGCAACGTAGCCAAAGCTCCCAGCGAGCGAATGCAGCTGCTCTTCTGGTGAGTGCAGATGTTTTGCACTGCAACCGAGGGCGTCATTGAAACGTAAGTTTAGAAAAAGTGGCCCTCACATTCCAAAATCAGCGATCACAATATCGCTATCCGGGTCTTTTGTTCTGTATAGAATATTCTCAGGCCTGTACACGTATTAAATCATTCGACTTTCTCGTTTCAGAACAAGGACATACTTCAAGTCCCTATGCACGATATCATGCTCGTGTAGGTATTTCACACCCGACAAAATGGACCTGAGGCGATTTGTCAAATCGCAGAGTGGACGTTAGGCAACACTTACCGAACAACTGCAACGGCATCACTCTCAGTAAATTTTCCTCTTTGTAGTATGCGACTAAAGAGCTCGCCACCAACGGCTAGCTCGAATGCGAGATAGTACTTTGATCGGGATTCGAACCATTCGTAAAACTTGACCTGCGTAGATATAAATATGGGTCAGACACACACGAGAAAGTCATTCTCAGTAGACGAACAATGTTGGGGTGATCAAGACCCTTGAGGACATCCATCTCGCCCCAGACAGCGGCTTCATTTCCCTTTACTTTCTTCTTCGGAATGACCTTCAAAGCAACCTCCTTTTCTATTGAGATATGATTAATTCCTCCCGGTGATGAAGGGGCGGAAGAGCTAGCTGTTCGAGAAATAGACCTCTTCATATGATGTGGATGGAGAAGAGGGATGGAAGATCGACCTGGAGCATGGTCGGTCGGGGATGTGGGCGATGATGGGAACGCCCCTTGCCGCGAAACGTCGACCAGGTCAGGGGGGACATGCCATGTCGCTCTCTAAGGTGCAGAATTAGAGCATTGAAATTTGATATGATACCCAAGCAGAAGGTGGAGCAGATATGTCTTCCATACCGTGGGACGACATCATATCAACTCAGAAACTCACCATGACTTTCCCAAAAGTCCCAGATCCAAGAATCTCGTGAATCTCATATGATTGTTTCTTTACGAAACTGGGAGGTTGAGGAAGTAAGGCATCTTTGAGTGATAAGTGTTTCATGGCTGATATGGTGCGTTTGCCGTGGAGGAATGTGCCAGTATCGGCAATTTTCAGCTCAGAAAGATGCGGATGCGGATCAGCTTAGCTCAAATATATGTACCCCAAGAACCCAGGTAGACAGTGGGAGTGTGCGTTCAGAAGGAAGGGGCTGGCCTTTCGGCGGTAGTCTCAGAGCATCGCCATGGCGCTCTCTAAGATTAGATTATCTGATAACGAAACCGGCAGAACTTGACGTCAGAAATGATTAGATTAGATAAGAATATCGTGCGACGTAGAAAACCGAGTAAATAAACGAAAAAAGTAGCGTGTAATGCCACTGGAAATACGTATAGCCTCGACAACTTCAGCTCAAAAACCGCGCCCAACATAGCAGTTGTACCACGAACGGATGGCCACGCCAGTCCATGACGCAACTTAAGTAGTAGTAGAAGTAGTAGTAGTAGTAGGCGCAACGCCCACAGGGCCGGTCTCGGTCGTCAGTGACGCGGCAACTGAGGTGGCTGATTGGTAGCTATAGGACGGATATATCAATATTGGGTAACACTCTGGCATACGATACGCACGCAGAGCTCGCAGCGACAAGGTCAATTTTCGTGTCCAGAAGAACGCTGTTAAGAACATGTACGACTCCATTGGACGTCAAAACGTCTGAGCGCATGATGCGCGCCCAATTAGAGCCGGCACTGGATACATACGTTCCAGAGGAATTTGTCTTGAAGACGAACGGTTCCCCAGAGGCCGAAGTGTAATTCTTTCTGTTCGAAAATTCTGACGAGTAAACAGTCGTGCCGTCGATAACCTGGGTCAAGAGTCAAACCAAGTATAATGAGATGGATGAGAGGACGAACATGGTTTCCAAAAAGCGAAATAAGTGTTGTAGCATTTGACGGCAAACCGCCGCTAGAGTTCGCTGTCGCAATAGCAGAGTTATTTGGCGCAAAAAGTGTAATGCCGTGAGCATTATCGAGCACATCGAGCAATGTAGTCGAATTGTCGGCAGGACCCTTGATAGACAAAAGCGCACCAGCAAGGTCGGTGAGCTCGTAAGTACTGTTTACCAGAGTGTTGGACAAGGTTTGAGGAAGCTTAAGGACGGAGTCTATGACAAGGATTTGGAGGTTTTGATAGGCCGTCGTGTTCACAACCGAAACAATTGTACTAAATGACACTTAGAAGCAGTTAAACGAAATATGAAAAGTCTCACCCATTATTGAGCACGAATATGCCTGTAGTTCCCTTCGACCACGCTAAAACCTGCGAATCATTGCCCTCCAGCTGGACGAGCGAAGAATTATTGAGGAGTGTTCTCCCAAGGGTGATTGTGGGATATGGGGAGGTTTGATCGGTGAAATTGCCGTGTACGACGTGATATGAAAGGAGATCCCCAACAGAACTTGCATCACTTGTGAGATTGACAGGAGTAGAACTAACTGTAAGATCACGGATGAAGTGCTGTCCTTCCGTTGTATATTGCAGTACTTACATGCCTGATTGTTCGGTGCAAATACTGTCCAGTTACCTGTAGAAAGTGACTCCGCAACTAGTTGCCCCTCAGACGAACTATTTAATGCGGCGCTCGCAGAAGCCAGCGATGTGAGGTTGGAAGCGTTCAAGGCTTGGACAAGGCCATCCAGATATTGCTGCCATGACTGCCCGAAAACAGCAGGGAGAAAAGTGAGAAGAGCGAGCGATGAAAACAGCATGATGTGATGGATGTTCCAATGAACGGTGATTCGGGGCGTTCTTCAGAATATAAATACCCCAAGATTTGTAAGATTCATGATGCAATGCGCAGCGTCCATTCAAATCTCTGGCGGGCCATGATCGGAAAGTCTTAGGGGCTTCGAACAAGGCGTAAACTGCCAGGGGTCAAGCTTTCAAGGACGCGAAGTCACACGTAGAAAACAAATAGCTATATTCGTGGTGTCGGAGAGCTATTGAACAGTGTCAACAAGAACCGGTAGAAGACAATTGAAGCTCGTTGACCTACGTCAGAATCGACTAGTACATATGACCTTAACTGCGAGTGGACTGTTGGTGGATCATTGATCGACCTTTGAGCGCATCACTGAAAGAAGATGCCAATTCAAAGGCGCGCTGACTAAGAGCAATAATTCAACTCCGCGAGGATCGTGTCGCTGGGAACACCGCCCAAACCGCTTTCAGCCACTTTCTTTCAGTTCCCAAAACTCCACTTACAAGAAAAAAACACAGAAATGGCGAGTCGTCGGGCAGCTCCAGCACCAACAAACGCAACTCCCGCATTCTTCACAACACCACCACGCCGTCAACTTGTTGATCCAAACGAGTCTGCCTTATCCCGCTTCATCCGGGAGCAAATAACTGCTCCAGAAAAATTATCTGGAAACATCAGCATCGTGACGGGAGTGAGTGTGTTCGCAGCTGGCATCTTTGTCGCTAGGACATGGGGAGACATGCTGGTACCTGCATGAGTAACGCAGAGACAGCTAGCAGGATGAGTTTGGCGGTGGTTCTCTTGCGCGGTCGTCATGACCCCAAAAACGGCTTGGTAAGTTAGTTGTTTGTGGTGTGGATGCAGTTTCCCTGACTTATGGACCACTTAGAGAGCTGTTACCACATCACATTGTACCTGCATATCTCCACCTTACTCCTTCCATGACCGCACGTAATAGCTAGCTCGCCCATAATTTCATCCCGGTTCTAGAGGTCGTTCCCAACAGTTCCCAATGCGTATTACTGTTTATTGTGTTTGCGTCTTATCAGGTCACCTGTTTCAGCTGTGTTAGGCTGGAAGGTGGGTCGCGTGCATTGCAGCCACTGCTGGTTATGATTCATGAAGTTATTCGCACACGAAGAAACTCGAATAGACTCGCAAGTTCTTAATGTCAATTCTGTATGAATGTTTGTTAAACTAACTGACTGATATGCGTGATAAGTGTTCCACCTGCAGGTCCGCGGCAAAGAGCTTTTTGCTAAGTATGATATGAAGGCCCTCGGCCAATTAGTTTGCGCGTACGTAAGCAAAATTTCCTTTCCTGTTTGATCAAATTCTCAGCAAAAACACTCTAATAACAGACTTGGACATTTCTCGGAAATCTTTGACAATCGATCGGAACCAGTAGTAAGAGGGTGCGTATATCCGCATCTCCACAATGCGGTTTTCCCCTTGTGGTCTCCAACGTTGTTGCAGAATACAAGTTGGCCCATCTGGTCTTATTATTTTATTTACGGAATGCAGCGGGAAAGCATCCGCTTTCGCTATTCAGTTCAAAAGTTTTGTTTCCCGCGCTCGGCCCACGGTTTCAAGCTCAGAAGGATATTGGCCGTCTCCGATTGTTTTCTATAACCGCCGTGGGTGGTCGTTCTGTTTGCCACAGCACTTCCTCCCACTTTGAGAGATGGGCTCTCCCCACCGCTTGGCCGTTGTCGCTCACGCGCTTACTCTACCAGAACATGGTGGTCGGGATTATCTGTTGTAGATGTTACTCTTTCTGTACTTTTTTTCAAAGATTTCCCCAAGCGCCAGGGAAATAGTTTTTTTTAATGGCGTTGCTGGGAGACATAGCGAGCACCCTCACCTGAAATCTCTTCTACGTTTGTGGGGGAAATGCGGTTCATGATCCTTGTCGATATGCCCCGCGTTAACTGGCACACGTGCACACCGTCTATAGCTCAACCTTAAATTGACACCAAACAGATCTTGGCTATATCCAGAGTATCACCGTACCTGGTCACTCGCTACCATCCGGCCTGCGGGATAGTGACAGGAACGCGCAAGCCCTGTGCTGTCAGGAAGTTGATCGACCACGTCCCACATCGCCGACAGGCCTAAGTCGTGCTTCCTCTACTCACGGTCCAGGCGTGCGCCCTTGATTCTGAGCCATCTCCGACAGGTTTATGAATAACCTACGCCATTACCATGATGAAAACCGGGATTGCCAAGGAACGGTCGCCCGCCCGCCTAAGCATCTGTGAATATTAATTTGACACATCGAAGTGCGTCCTGTTTAATTTCTTGTGACTACGTTGACCTAACCATATACCGCCGCTTCTCTTTACCCGCTTGCGCTGAAATGGCCATTATGCCAAACCAGAACACACCAGGATCTTGGCGAGCATGCACCAGCATGCCATCATCTGATGCGGGGAATTGGAATAATCCGTCTATGCCTTCGACACATCGAAGTTCGTCCCATTCTATTTTCTGTAACTATGTCGACCTAACCATATACTAGTCTTAGGTTGTGATACCCGCGTGCGCTGGAATGTTCGCCGTTCAAGCAAAACACCTCAGGACCCCAGCTAACATGTATCAGCATACCATCATTCGATGGCGGGGAAGTCGGAATAATGTGTCTGCGAAGCACCACGTATCGTGGCGCTTCGTTGAAGAAGCTTATTTTCAAGAATGATGTACCGCCGTCTACACAAATACTTGGATTTTATCCATGTGTTATGCCAAGGGCAATAATATTAATGTTATGCCTATACTTATTGATCTCGATAAAGATGATTCGGTTCGGTGAAATCTCTGGTTCGCGATCTACTCTGCGATAATATGTAACACTTCCAGCTGAACCCTGGATCATCATCGAGCCGCTCCTCAGGTGTGAAAATCCTCTCCAGAAATCAAAATCCCCATCTGGGATGGCGTCATAGTGCTGCGTCGGTAAGCACCGAGGGATCATCCCGTTAATCGTTGGTGGGGGATATCCTCAATATGGAGGATTTGGAGAAAGGCGGGATCATTCATCCATAATTTGAGTTGCAGGAGTATGATAAATGTTCAGATACTTGACAGTAATGTACAATGCGGGTACTAAAAAGCGGAGCAGAGCAAAAACATGCGATATGCGAAGAGCGCGAGAACAGTGTCAAGGTGATACCAGATGAGCTCAGTAGCGTCAACGATGAACTAAAGATAGGTGGAACCCTGTAAGATCAGGCGTCTACAGTGCGGAGAAGCGTAAGAAATCATCCTTCCGATCCTCTAATGTTCGACAAGATTCAGCGCACTACTGGAATTGAGAGGCAGAGTCCGTGCCCGACCCAGCGGGGGAAGTTGTGCTCTGCGTGTGCGAGTATACCGGCATTGACTGCGCAGGTGGCAACGGTGTCGACACAAGAATATTCCGAGATTGCGCATGGTATTGATGCACGGTTGAGTTACTACTTTGCGGATATCCCGCATGTGCGGTGGAAACTGGGGAATAACGACCGTGGTATGCAGCCTCTTGCCTGGATGCTCCTGAGCTCTCTTGAACGTGGTCAACAGCGCTGTAGTGATGAGAAACGTCTGAAATTTGGGACTGTTGGGCTGAATAGACGCTATGGGAACTGCTCTGAGACGGATAGAAAGGAGAGTTTAGCGTCGGAAAGCCATAGCCCGAGGAATGAACCGATGGATTGTTCGAAGCTAGTGGCTGCGAGTTACTAGCACCCCATGATGGTGGTGATGCCTGGTACTGACGGTGCCTATCGTCTCCAGCGTGTGGAGACGGTTCTGAGCCATTTTGCGACCAACACGCTGGAGACGAATCTGAGCCACTCTGCGACCAAGGCTGGACGGGTGTGCGTCCTAAATCATCTCGACTGGAGCGACTGGAGGGGTGCCACTGCCCTTCGCTTCCACTCTGACTGGGGAAGTAAGAAGCGGACGGGGCATGAGGTGCGTTGGGCACGAAGGGGGGGAAATAACCAGCACTAGTTGATCCACGAGATGCGGATGTGGACGGTCCCATAACGACGTCAGGCGTGGCGCGCCCATGAGAAGATAAGTACGACGCCCGTCTATCACTTTCACCATACGCATGATATTGCGAAGAATCACCCAGTTGGTAACTCGACGCTCGCGCCGGAGGCATGTAGCAAGTATCATATGTGGCTTTCTGCAGATGCACGGACGTCTGGTCCACTGCTCTCGTATCTTTCTTGAGAATCATGATGGTAGTCGACAGGAGATATCTCGCCATACTCTGGATTGGAGGACTGGTCGCCTGCTGGGTCCATGGCAGAAGCAGAGTCTGCAACAGGCGCCTGTGGAGTCTGCTCTTCGCTTTTTACGGCTGTTGTTCGGTCTCCGTCTGTAAACGTAATCCGGGTACTTGAGATTGAAATTATCCTTGAGGTGTTTAGCTTGATCAAGGTAAAATTGCTTGTCGGACTGATTGATCTCGAGATCAGAACTACCGTCGCAAACGTAAAGAAAATACGTTACCAAGTCCATAGCATTCCATTCTCGACTTAAGATTTTGCTGACATCCCCTGTTCGCATTGATTGATTTTCCGCGGAGACTTGGGGTCGTCTCCTGCGAGCAAAAATCATGAATGCATTCATGGGACGCTTAGGCGTACCATCAGCATTCAAGGTTTGGGATGTCAGGGAGGTGTTTGCGTCGTCTGAAGTTATTTGAGCGAGATGTGTGATGGTAAAAATGGAAAAGATAGCTCACCGTCAGTGTCTGCGTCCGTCTTGTTTGCATCTGGATACAACAGATAGCTGCCAGCGTCGTCCTCCGAACCTGAGAGCGATCCCTGGTCTTCGACTCTTCCATCGTTGAAGTTGGCATTGAAAATGCCGGTATGTTCCGCTACGGTTCCATACCTCCCTTCGAAAGATTCAAACCGATTGTAGCGGTTCATGTTGACAGCGACAGGGAGGACGAGTAAAAGGTTTCAAGGTGGAATAGTCAAAGAGGACAAGCTTCCGCTTTTTTAAGCGCAAGTGATGTTTCAGACGGGATTGAAGTCTGGACTGAGACTGCTGGACAGTCCTGAAATCAGTGACCCTGTTCGCTCCTGATACGAGGAGTTTTGAAGAGTTTGTTGACGTACTGAAATCAAGGAATAACGCATGGCGAGGTGAACCGGAACAGGCAGAATCATTAAGTCTGATCGTAAATGTAGAGTGAACCTAAGGTGGTGCCTGCAGAATTCGCGGAGCTCGTTTCCTCGGCTATGGCTCGCAATACCTTATTGAGACCGAGCGGCGCTGGCTATAGCGACTTTTTCATCATGATTACTGGCCACTGCTCAAATATTTCTCCGCTTCGAAGAATCTAGAAATTCGTGGTTGTCAATCCTGGTTCCAGCACTTCCTGTTTATGCGTCCGTCCAGTCAGAAATCGAATGCCCCTTCAGGCTAGATCCTGTGCGAATTGAAGGCCCTTTTTTTCCAAGCGCTCGATCCCCCCAAAAGCAGACTCGCGTGTTACCCAGGCAGCAGGCTTGTCCAAGGATGGCTATACTCATGGCCAAAACTCTCTTTCAACGCAGTGACTCGTGTCGAGCGCGAGGCTATTACGACTTATGTTAACCTAGGTTGGTCTGAGAAATTACTGTTACCATACCTCCGATTGTTTCAAACTTGTACAATGTGTGGGTCATTTCATTTTGCTCCGGCGGAGATTGCTGAGAAATAATTTTCACGCTACGCGGAAGTAAAGTTCCACTGTTAGATCTCACAGGTAAAGCACAGGGTAAACATCTTGACACGGTGCAAGTCGGACCCGTTCCTCCATCGGACCGTCGCTGTGCTGGCTCGGAGATGCCCCAGGTTGGCACCTTTCCATTCTTGGTTCGGCTACTTCCGCTCGCGAAGTTCTCTCTTGCTTGCTTCCTCCCCTTGCTTGCTGCACTGCTTCCGATTCCGTTGAACTTGTCAACATGAACCCTAGGTTCAGGGTGCACCCTGATTCCCTGCCTGCTTAAAGTTCCGGCACAGGCATATTATGTGTCGTTTGCCGCCTGCTCTATCTTCTGACTCCGATCAAGATCATGACATCTTGTGGCAAGTCTACTACTAGCAGTCCACACTCGGGATAAATTCCCAGCTCACAATGCAGCTTTGTGAGTGCTCCTTTTGGGATGTGACTCCAAGAAACAAAGCGTGGCTCGTGTGTCTTCCTACTCCGGAAGGCCTCAAGGGTCAACGTAAATATGAGTTTGCCAGATTAGGGTGAACGCAGGTGTAATTAAACTTATGGAACGATGTAAGTACTGATCTGCTGAGGCCGACTTGATCGATAATCCGATCTGTGTTTCCCGTCGACTGTGCGGGATTGCGTCATATCGGTATTTTAGAGACGCGTCGTCTGGCGATCCCGTTCAGATCCACACGTTCGAACAACCGCCAGATCTGCATGAAGTAGATAGAAGATGGTTGGGAGATTTCAAATAGCGAAACCATTTCTCATGCGATGCAGACCCTTCAGTCCTAGCATACCTACGCACGCTGGTGCTCACTCGAAGTCCGAGATCGACAAATTTGACAGTTGTTGTCGTCGTGGCAAAACTGCCAGGTTCGTCAATGACTTGCTCAAGTCTTAGCTCTGATCACGGCGCGTAATCCTTCTTGCAGATTCGAAGCCGTTCATTAATATCGCTTCGTAACAAGAGAAGATCTCAACACGATTCAAGAAACTTTTAAATGTGCCTGACTTCGGGTACTTGAATACTCATACCAGCTGATCACTCGACTGGACAGTGGTAGTCTCTTTACTGCATCGACTGTAAGGGCAGTTAGAGACGTCATGCATTTGGACTGCGCTCTCAAGACCTACGTCAGCGTTACTATTGTCTTGATGGTCTGGCAGCCTTCTCAGACCTGAGGATCGGACATATATCTCTGAGGAAGGTGCAACGATCGTATTCTCTTCTCCAGGACCTCACGATTCCCATTTCCCTGATTGTGTACTACGTCTGCACAAAGTCACCCTCGCGTCATCAGATGTCAATCGGACAATACGGTGTTCGATGCCAACGCTGAAGAACCCAACGACCCGATGATCGCCCTCCAAGAGTACCTCATATCGTTATCAGTAGTATTTTAGCCCAAGTGGAGACACGGTGATGTCGCAAGAACGCACCTATCACAGCGCTCGTGCCTTTTCTTATGCTCTCCAGCGCGACACGCAACGAACAGTTACATACTTCTACCAAAAGGGGAATGCATTCCTCAGTCTTTCGTAGTGCCATTACAGATAGTGAAGCAACGAGTACGGGTGCAAGTCGGCAAAGTTATATGATGATCTGCACAAGTCGTATTAATCATCTGACATCCTTGCTCGCGCCAAGTCACGGGAACTAAAGTTGCAGCTATTAGCCGCGGCCGCCGACAATGACAATATATTTTCCGACGGACATGACAAGGGGAGAACAGGGAACGGGTACTTCAATGATTGTCGTACACCATAAGCAATCAAGCAATCCCGGAGACCGTAGTACAACGCCACCGAGGGCATAAAAGAACTAACCAGCTGATACGGAGACTAGCCAACAAACACCTTGCGAAGCGGATTTCAATCGTTCTCACGCAGAGACAAATTGACAACGATCGTAGCGCGATAATCCGCGAATAATCCGCGATTGCGTTTTTTATGACACGAAACCCAAGTTATTTGGACTGCATGGAGAATGTCCTTCACGGTCAGATGAGTTAGAGTTTGAACAGAACGTCTATGGAGCGCAAAAATGAACAGCGTCTATAGTGAGTGTGCACATGAATGAAGAAACTATGAAAGGAAAGGTTGTTCGAACCGACGACGGAATACAGACGTTGTACAATTGCTTCGCAGGCGTCGTCACTCCACGTGGTTCCCCGGCATCAGTTACACGAAGGATAGAGTTCAGATTGGAACAGCTTCTTGCCGGAGAAAGGAGGCCCCTGGAACAGATGGGCCGGCCGCCAGAAAGTCTAGGTACAATCTAGGCTCGAAAGCTGCGGAATCGAAGTTCACTGATCTACGTAATTGTATTAGGTGATATAGTCAGCCTCCATCATTGGCGTTGACCGAATAGTAGTCCGTCATTAAAATTTGGTTTCTTGACCATCGCTACAAGTTCGTCCTTGCAGTAATCACTGTGACCATGGTCAAGTACTACGCAGCTGAAGACTCGGGGTCTCCAACCTCAACCTCGCAACTTCACCTAATCTGCAAGCACGGTGTACGGCAACGCCCGACTAGCGTGTCAAAGAAGAAAAAATGATAATAAAAAAGGGGGGCGTGCAGAATAAGGAAAGGAACAAGGTTTTTGAGTATGTGGAACTTCACCAATCGGAGACATTGGTTGCATAGTTCCCTTGGTTCGTCGACCTCCCTGCGGGGGAAAGAAGCTGAGAGAAGCCATCAGAATATCTCCTTGCGGAGGCACTGAATGTTCCGTCAGAAGTCGGGCTATCGGATGTGTAGATGCCTTAGGCCAATGGCAATGGCTTCACATGAGGTGCGCAAGTGAGCAATAAACTTACTGTTCTGGAGCATTCGATTCAATGATCCCAGTCTTGAGACACTCTGGGACTACCGTCGGGCTTCGGTCCCTGAAACCGTGAAGCGTCTTCAGGACTGTCATTAGGCGATAATTCCGGTCGCCTGCCACAGAAATCGCCCGATACAGTTATAACACAGAAACATTTTTCTGTTCTGAGCGATAGGCCAAGAGCAATATCATGAATACGAAGCACATAATAGGAGCTGCAAGTGATGGAACGGCAAGTAGTTCTGTGGGTATCACAACCACGATACTCTTAGTCATACTCTTAGTCATGGATCTCAGACTTTAGTGCGTTCGAACTACTGGTATTCGGTCAACGCCGACACAGGCCAACAGCTGGATCTGCCGCTGCGAGCTACTAGATCATGAAGGATCGCATACAGGATGCAAGTGAGTAAAATTTTCTTTTTTGAGAAAAATTATCATAGCCGTCCATGTAGATTTCCCCAAGACGGAGGACGGTCGAGTGTACCACTTGGGTATACGAGCAGGAGAAGTAGCCAACAGAATCGTAAGTCAGAGGCGCTTTCCGCTTCTTCCAGCAGCTCATAATTACTGTGTGAGATTACTGTTGGATCCATTTCACGAGCAGAGGGTATCGCAAAGATGATGGACGCCTCCCCAAAGTTATTCTCCCTGTACTCGGAGCGCGGTTTCCTTACCATCACAGGATGCTACAAGAGTGTACCATTATCCATAGTATGCATAGGTATGGGCGCGCCTAATGCAGATTTTTTCATCCGCGAAGTCAGAGAATGCCTGAGTGGAGACATGCTCGTCATAAGGTCGGAATGGTCTTGATAATCGCGCTATATTGTCGGACTAACCGGCTGCTATCGGAAGGCTGGGGTCATGTGGTTGCTTGACTGACCTTCCCGTAGGGTCGCTCGTTCTGCCAGCATCGAGCGTCGCTTGTACCCGAAATGTGGACTTCGATTTTGCTTCCGGCGATCCTTGGGAGGTTCCTTACAGGTTGAGCAAGCCCGTCCGTATCATCATAGCTTCTACACCCTTTTACTCACTAACGAGAATTCTTCGATCAGATCTCAGCAGATCCAGACCTTCACGAAGCCGTAAGTACCACATGGTACTACTTAGCGAAGCCGTCGCTCATTCCCGAGGCAGCTGCGTGATGCTTTGGAAGTGACACGGCCGCCTTCACTCAAAAACCTTATAGTTTCGAACGCTGTCAATGCATCGACTGACAGGTAGGTTGCGGTTTACGTATCTTGACCGCATTCAATCCTACTGATATGTAAAAGCTTCTACTCATCTCAGGGGAGACAGACGTCCTTTCAAGACCACAATGCCTCTCTGATCGATCACCTCAAAGCTGCTGTACCTAGTCTAACAACGCTCGAGGTACGTGTTTCTCCGCCGAAGTCACCGGATCGATAGACATGCACTTCCCCCTTAGATGGAGACCTTCTGGATATTCCATCTTGCAGTCAGTTGGGGTGGAGTTAAACAGTCGAGTTTGGCCGTTAACCCGCCATCATCCTCGGGAAAGTCCAGGGAGGCGTCAGAGAAGGTAGAAGGACTCCATTCCGGTCTGGATGAAGATATTCCTTCCAGACCGGTGATTAGAGCTGCGGCGGCCCAAATGGTATTTGCTTCTCGAAGCTCCCAAGCCTTTATCAGTCCTGAGCAGGTGAACGAGCTCGAGAAATGGAGTGGCAGAGGCGTGCTCGAAGCGCTTTCCAAATTCGATATCTCCCCTGAAGTACGTATATCGATGATTGTGTGGCCCGCAATGCTCATATTCGAGTTCCTCGATAGAAACTGCATCCTCTTTCTGGAAGTGTATGGGAACGGACGGAACCTTTCAAGGCGTTAAGGGCGTCGTTGTGACAGCCAGCCCCAATTGGTCTTTGATACCACAGGGTCGTGCATCGCTTGCATGCCGGTCAAACAATGTTCCGAATTGCAAGATATCACCTGTTTTGTATACATTATTTGCTAGTATCTGCTACTTGCCCAAAGTGATGTTATGAAATAGGCTTAACACGCAAGGTGCACTGTCTTTTGTCAAAAACCCAGCTCCCATACGTTTTTCAAGACAAGTGATACACCCAACCGGACCGTCCCCCGTGGCAAGACTTGCGACAACCATGATGATTAGCCTCAAGATTGGCATGCGGTAGGCCCCTTGAAGTTACTTTAAAGGATACATTGCAGGAACGGTTATTATCTTACTCTGTGGCAAACTTCTGCAATGATCGTCCTCGGTGAGTGAGTGAGTGCATCGACAATCAAACCTGAGGGACTCACAGGTCGTGCCAGCTTCATCACCGTGCTTCGCGGAGACACGATCACCGATATACAACGACTGTTCCAAACTCCTCCAACAATAATGCTTCGTCCTCAGTGATCTGCGGACAATCGTCTACATGGACGCAGACGACGCGAACAGGGTGCAAAGCCTCCTCGATCGGGATCAGCGTCGATGATACACCATGAGAACTCTGCACATGTGACTTCGCGGGAGAAGAAGGGCCTTCTTGTGCAGACGCCGCACGCGGCTTCTTCAAGGGCTTTATTTTGCGGCCTAGCACAGTTGAGACAACGCTGGGGACGTCTTTTTGAGCCTTCATGAGCATGCTGCTGCCTGCCGGCTGTGCACGCGCGAATACGGCTGCAAATAAGCTTTTGAATATGAAGTCGCAGCAGCCCCACAGCGTTATCCTTTCTAGTTTGGGGCAAACTCTAACGCCACATCCGCGCGCTTCCTTGCGTTCTGCATCCAGCGCGAGGCCGTATGCCTCAGCAAGCGCTTCAAGCACGCCATCCACGCCTGTGCACGAGATAAGCGTCAATGATACCAGGCTCGGCATATAACCGAGCATCAGCTTCCCGTGCCCGGCAAAGACATCAAGATGTGACAGCGTGAAATGTGTGAGGTGGGGGAGACGGGGGTCGCGAAATACGTAATCGAGGCGCGGGAGAGGATGCTTGTGGTTGCAATTTGGCGGGCACTTTCCGGCGTATGCAAACTCAAGTTGCTCGAGTGCAGGGAAGAGGAATTGGCGCAGGGAAGAAATAAGGGAGTCGCCGTCCTGGCAGCTAACGCACAGCTCCTTGAGTGCGTTCATGGATAAGACGCCTCCGAGGGGCTCGGCCTGGATGAACGAGTCTGGTTCGTTCCAATGGTTACCGCGGAGCAAGGTGACGTCGTCCCGTTTCGTTGGAGAATTAGCAACTAAAATTTCCGATCGCTCCAGCGCAGGCAAGCCGAAGAAAGACATAAAGGTGTACACGTCGCGGGGATATGCGAACTTCCATGTGAGGCTTCTGAGCTTAGGTAGTTCAAGGGGGGAAACAACAGTGAAGCGATTGTCGGTTGTCTGTCCTTCACTGGATCCCTCGAGCACAAGATCACGAAGCGGTATAGTTTGCATCAGAACCAGGTCTTGGAGTTCTGGAATAAAACTCAGGAAACGGTGTACATGGGACATTCGTAGGACGTATTGAGAAATACGGCGGGACTTTCGTGGAGGGAAGGAGAGCTCGAGGGTTCGCACAGATCGTAATAGAGATGGCGGAATGACATGCGGTGGTAATTGTTGAAGACGGAGGTAGGTGAGGACGCTTGATGTGTCAGGTAGACTCTGTTTGCCCAGTTCATCTAGCGAGAGGAGTGGTGTACCCGCAAAGCATGGAGCAAGGCTTGCGAAGGACAGATCCAAGGAACGTAACGACGTCAGTCGGTGAACGTTATCTATGAGTGCTTCGACAATAAGTCGCATACTCGCAGGGGATGTGCACTCGAAGGTGATAGAGCGCACACGAGAGAGGTGAGAGCTCAACATGTGGAGTAGAACTTGAGACACCAGTCGTTCGTCTTTAGCAGCGTCAACGTCGTCAATGTGGTACAGAGGGGGAGAGAAAGTGAAGTCGAGCAGACTAGAGCCTGAGCGATTCATGAACGCCCATACTGGAGACGCGGACCACTTTCTGCTCCTGTAAGAAATGCGCGACCACAGTATAGAAGTGGCAAATGCGAGTTTACGCCATTTCCGGCATACATGAGACAAGATGACGGGGGGTGAATTGTACGCGAGACCTGCTGAGATGTCTGAGTCGTTGTCCTCCGTCAAGGAGACGAAAATTTGGATCAGCAACTCTGAGGGCAGCCAGTTAATTGGATGTCTCTGACTGTCTAGCTCCGTTATTTGAGATGCAAGTGCCACTTGCTCGGCCTTGACCGAGTCTCTGAGACGCGCCATGTCCTTCAAAATACGAACGAAGTCATCCTCACGACGCTGCAGAACGGCGATTTGAGCTTGCAGGACGTCAATCTCGTGGTCAATTGCAGCGCTGTTTTTCCTAGGCATGTCGAGACTCGAAGGAGAAGGACGTGGAAGAAAGTAAAGTTGTTTGAACCGTTCAGGTCACAAACTTCCTCGACTTCAAGTTGTGCCACAGAAAGACATCTACTAGATCTACGAGTTCAAACTGCTCATCGAGTGCTCATTGAGCTGAGTTTGGTCTTAGCCGACCGCTTAATATCATACGCGAGCCTCTCCACCAATGAAAGCACTCGCTTAAGGCTAAAGAAAGGTCCAAATTGCGAACGTAAAGTGAGGCCGAACAAACATCCTTGTCGCGGCATGTTCGAAGGCAAAAGCAACAGTAGTGACGTGCTTTGTCCAGTGTCTTATCGGCGACAGGCTGACAGCTTGGACTACATACTATGATACTTGTCATGAAGAGCAGTAGCTCTCGTCGGGTGACTATGTACGCTAAGAGACCTACGGAGTTATTTGCATCCTTAATTCATTTATCGTTTGCCTCCCATGAGTCTAGTTGGAATTCGAGACAGAAACCCTGGATCTGATGACCGCTAGATGACCGCACTAAGGCCGAAGGTTGAAAGTGTAAGCAAGAATTCCTGATGGTAAGTAATCGGTATCCCAACGATATCCGTGTGTTCTTGCCGCAAATCTGCTGACTTGGAATGACACTGGAAACCGTTTGTAATATGCGCCATAGTATAGTACTGTCCTGAATTCAATGATAAGTTGTGTCAGAATGCTTCGGTGAGAAGAATACTACGTACTGATCCTTTGGTAATGAAAAGGCAATGAAAACTTACGAGCTAGGGGACCTCCGGTCTCCAGAGTCTAGACACGTCAGAGAAACTGGAAAAACTGGTAACCTTTTCCGACGAGTAGCGGTCGAATTCTTCCGTTTGCAAGCTGAGGAGTCAACGAGTCTGCGAACCATAGCTAGTCGGACTTACCTTGATGTATAAGTAACACTGCGATTGAAGACGATGTTCACTCATCATTCCGAGATCGTATCTGCTGGAAGGGGATCGAAATACTCGTTTGACTCTAAGGAATGGTCTAGCCTGAGCTTGGTCTAGCTGGCATGCTGCATCCACTCAGTCAGCAAACGTCAACGACAAGGCGCCAAACAAGTATTCCAATCCATCATCCCACCATCATGATACTCAAGTGTCTAGCTATTAGTAGACTCAGCCCACCTGCTGGCGACGTACTTACTACTAGATCAACAAAAGAGCCCGGAAGCATGCAAGGCCTTATGAAGCTTACATGGTACATGCATGCTGTGATTTAGCTTTTAAGACATATACAAGTTGTACACAAGGTCTTACATTGCGACATACGGTTCAGCTCTTCAGTTGTTGGCAAGTGTGACATGGCGCTCCAGGACTGGCAGTCAGCGGCCTCCTGTAGGCTGTCACCTAATATATATATGTCACTTGACAACGACTCGATCGTGACGCTCTGTTTAATATCCCACTCACCTACTGCAGGGGCGACCACACTCATGATCAATACCTGTTCCGAAATGGCCAGTACTACATACCACTGCCCACCCATACTTACGGATCGCCTGTCTCGATGGGACCAGTAAAGGTAGACCCACTAGACCTTGAAACCAACCTTTTCCCGAGCACAGTGGTCAGCTGGTCTTGACTCTTGGGAGTTCGTCCGAATGATACACCGTGCGGGACTTGCAATGTGATGCGTGACCTCTGTACGTCACTGGACTGCTTCTTCTCATTTCTCTCTCTCTCACAAGGTGGTTCCTTTGTGCCGTCCGAAGTACCGCTGCGTTAATGGCCCCACGTAAGAATATTTTCCGACCTATAAGTATAAATGCAAACCCATCAGACGTTCCCCGTCCGCGACGGATTCCTTCTCTCAGGTCCACTTTCATGTTCTCCTTGCTATTCGGTGCCCTGTATGCCCTAGCGCCTACAGTCTGGGCAGAGGTTTCCTCTAACATTCAGCTGGCTGCGCTAGGAAATAAACTCACTTCTAATGGCACCGCGACGCCTTATTCGATGAATGTCACGGATTGCCCAGGTTCGACTGTAGTACAATCTTTTGGGAGTTGCCACTGATGATTGCGGGGTTCAGGGTACACTCTAGGGTCGTTTGAAGAGTCTGACATTGGTCTCACTGCTCGGCTCACACTCGCTGGACCAGCATGCAATGCATTTGGATTAGATATATCAGACCTCACCATCGAAGTCACTTACCAGTCGCAGTCCACGTACATCGCTTTCTGAGTCTTTTGAGCGCAGCGCTAATGGTTGGTTTTAGTTTACACGTCAAGATCTATGACACTGCCAACCAACAGTTTACAATCCCCGAGTCGGTGATCGAACGACCTGCTGCACCAACGACATCCTATACAGGCAGCTCTGACCTCATATTCAACTATGATGCAATGCCTTTCGCATTTTGGATTACGAGACGCTCTGACCCGGACGCAATGCCATTGTTTGACACGAGAATTTCATCACTTCCACCCACTCCCATTCCACCATTCAATACATCTGACTCAAGCACGGCATTCGATGGCTTCCCTCTTGTATTCGAAGATCAATACCTCCAGGTCTGTATCCATCATCCCCGCTGCGAATGTGGCTTACGGTTACTAGGTTGCTTCGGCTCTGCCGTATGGCACCAACATCTACGGATTAGGTGAAGTCATAGCCAGCAGTGGATTTAGACGCGACATTGGAACAGACGGGGGTGTCGGCACCATCCAGACGCACTGGGCTCGCGACGTTGCAGATCCCATTGATCAGAACATGTAAGTCATCTGACCTGTAAATCATTCTCACGTGATGATTCATGAGATCTTCGTGTTTAGGTATGGCTCCCATCCAATCTACGTCGAACATAGGTACAATGCGACCACCGGAAAGGCCTCTTCCTCTGGTGTCCTTTTACTTAGGTATTCAACTCCAATTCATTCCGAATCCGTCCGTTCAAGTCATTCCTCAGCTCCGCAGGTTCGGATATCTTCCTGCAGACGCCCTCGAACTCCAAGGTATCATTGATCGAGTACCGTATGATCGGTGGCATCCTCGACTTTTACTTCTTCTCTGGTTCCACGGATGCAGAAGTCATCGCTCAGTACGGGTCAGTCATCGGGTACCCAATGTGGCAGCCAGCGTGGGGATTCGGATTCCACCTTTGCAGGTAATGTTCTCTGAACGTGATCGGCGTAGAAGAGGCTCAATTCGCACACAGATGGGGGTACCACAATATCAGTGATGACAGAGAAAACGTCGCGCAGATGCGTGCGGCGGGTATCCCCCTGGAAGGTTTGGCGCATCTTTGGCAGAACTCGTCGCTCACCATTCTGACTTGGCGCTGCAGTCCAATGGAACGATATCGACTTGTACCACGCTTACCGTGACTTCACTACAGACCCAGTTAGTTTCCCTGGAGATGAACTTCGTGAGTTCATCCAAGAGTTGGTGAGTATTTGTCGCGACATGGTGCAACCAGTGCTGACTTGAGTGAAAGGCCGCCAATCATCAACATTGTAAGTTTGACTGTACACTTTTGCTGCCATACTTGTTCCAACGACTCATCAGATATCCCTATTGTCGATGCCGGTATCGCTGTGACGGTGAATTCCACCTGACGTCGTGAGTCTCTTGACATCCTGTAGCGAATTGTGCCCTAACTGGATGCTGATTTAGTACGATCCTTTCACACGGGGAGTTGAAGAGTGAGTTCTTGCGTCCTATTAGCAGATTTGAAGCGATGAATGCTCTGCAGAGATGTCTGGATCAAGAACCCAGATGGATCTCTGTACATGGGTCAAGTCTGGCCTGGGTACACTGTCAGTTATCCTCTGGAACTTCTCTACGACCGATTGATTTCCTGACTTGTTGTTAGGTCTACCCGGATTGGTTCAGTGAAAATATGCTCTCTGTATGGACTGACAGTCTCAAAAACTGGACGGACATGGGTGTGGAGTTCTCTGGTATCTGGCTCGACATGAACGAACCAAGCTCATTCTGTAGCGACTCCTGGTAAGGCGAGTTTTTGTTCACGGTCCTTTTGAAGCTGACTAGTGAGAAGTGGGACTGGCGCGAACTTCTCTGCCCTTGCTCCCTTGAGCGTTGCCGGCACGGTCGTTACCGGATATCCTGAATGGTATGGCAGTTGGAAATTTTGTCCTGAAACGTGGGTTACTAACGATGTTTGATGAAGCTACAATGAGACAATATGGGGACCTAGTGGGAACATGACTATCAATGGAACTGCTACACATTCATGCGCAGCAAGCTCGAGCGCTATGACCGTGATAGACAAGCGGGGTGTCGGTGCAGGTGGCGAACAAGGCGTCAATCTCAACAGTCCACCATATGCCATTCATAATGGTCAGTTTCATCTGTTGTATACCATCATTGCCATGTGACTGAGAATTCTCTGGAATGCAGCGATCGGAGCTCTTAACCGCAACACCCTGGCGACCAACGCGACCCACTACGGCGGATATGTCGAGCTCGATGTGCACAACATGTTTGGATTCATGGAGGCAAAGACGACCAACCTTGCTGTTCAATCGATCCTGCCCGGAAAGCGTCCGTTCTTGATCGGCAGATCGACGTTCCCTTCTGCTGGAAAATGGACTGGTCATTGGGTACTTTGAATCCACTCGGAGGCATATAGTGGAATGTTGACGTCTCTGATAGCTTGGCGACAACTACAGCAAGTGGCAGTACATGTACCTCAACATTCAGGGAGTGTTGCAGTTCCAGATCTATCAAATTCCGATGGTGGGCGCTGATACCTGTGGATTTAGTACGTATCCCGCGGAATGTGTGTCGGTGTCTGGTTAATGGTCTACGCAGACGATAATACCGACGAGGAGTTGTGCAATCGTTGGATGCAGCTCTCAGCCTTCGTTCCCTTCTATAGGAACCACAATACCTATGCTGCTCTTCCCCAAGAGCCTTATCGCTGGCCAAGCGTAGCAAACGCATCCCGCATCGCCATTGCTGCTAGGTACGCCCTGCTGCCGTACTGGGTGAGTATGTGCGCCCTCTCGTGATCACATCGTTGACATTTGACATGCAAAAGTATACGCTCTTTGCGAATGCCTCAATGGCTGGTCTCCCGCCTGTCAGAGCGCTATTCTACGAGTTCCCTGATGAGCCCGAATTGTTCACTGTGGATCGGCAATGGCTAGTTGGAAGCGACGTCCTCGTGACTCCAGTGCTTACTCCGGGAGCTACCACCGTCGATGGTAATGGTCTAAACCTCACCGATAACCACCCTCACTGACGTACTATCCGACAGGTATCTTCCCTGGACGCGGTAGCGTAATCTGGCGCGACTGGTACACTCACGCCGTCGTAAACGCTACGTCCGGAGGCAATACAACACTAGACGCTCCCATCAGCCACATCAATGTTCACATCCGCGACAACTCTGCTCTGTTGTTGCACCAAGAGCCCGGGTACACGATCTACGAGACTCGCGAAGGTCCCTATGCCCTCCTCATTTCCCTCAATGCAGCAGGCACGGCATTTGGCACTGCGTATGTGGACGATGGCATCAGTTTCCCCCCTGGGCCAAGCAGCAGCCTCACGTTCCAGGTTGCTGAAGGCACGCTCAAGGTCGAGAGCGAGGGTGAATATGTGATTCAGCAAAAGTTAGAGACGATTACAGTGCTTGGCGTGCAGAAGCCAACACAGGTCACGTTCCAAGGATCGCCGTGTGAAGGGTGGACTTATGAGAAGGCTACCGAAGAGCTGGTGGTGTTGAATGCGTCTATCGACCTTAATAGACAGTTTACTTTAGCGTGGAAGTAGCTTCTAGCGTGTTGTTCTTGACATTTGGACATGCGCGTAATTAGAAATATTTTACCGCACAAGTTGGGTCAGCCACTTGTTTGGGACAGTTATTACACAATGTTACAGAGTGGTCGATCCAAGCATACCCCGTATGTATCTGAGTGGGACGAAGTTCATTGAAAATGAAACTTTTGTGTGCACGTCAAATACGAACGTATGACTTTACGAGGAATATAGATCACAGTCTGTGGACACACCCAGAGTCCACCATGACTAGTTATTATCGTCTTTGAGGTTCTTCTGTCTGCGCATACGTACCAGAGTCGTCATGAGCGCAAACCGTTGAGTTCCTGCTCGAGCTTGTTCTCGAAGGTCTCTCGGGTTGAGCCTCTAGCTGGTCATGGTATGTCTCCTCGATGATCTCCTCGCTGGTACGTTTCGTGATGTACTTCACTCATGCCCAGGCCAGGACCGTTTGAACTGAGAATAGTGGGGTGAGAAAGATCCATATATCATTGCGAATATAGACTTCTGGGGTGCACATGTAAAGCCATAGTAGTTTGACGTGTTCGGTGTTTGTCGGAGATGTCGTCCTGTAGATGTTCGTGATTAGTCCTCCAACTGTTCGAAACCCATGCTGGAGATAAGTACTACCATCGACGACACTGCTCGGCTTGACAGAGAAGTGAGGCGCCTGCAGAACTGGATGTGCATTTGGCGCTGGCCAGTCGTGAATAACTTCCTCTCGAGGTTCTTTGAAGTCGAGAGGAGCCTCATGTGTTCGGTCTTCTAGTACAAGGATATCGTATGGTTCAGGAACTTGAGCTTGATCACTGTATGCCTGCTACGGAAAAACTGAGAGAAAACTATATGTGTTTTCACCAATCGTGAAGCACTTCAACAACGAGCGCAACTGATCAAGCTCATGCATTGCGAGCTTTGGACAAATTCCTGAGTACAAAGTACTCATGATGAGATGGACATCGAAACAATGGCACTAGGTTATACCTGTACACAACCGTATAAGCTTCGCGGCACTTACCGTCACCATCCGACGGGGGGTCGAATACAAACCCAGGACCGCCAAACCACTCGTTCCGCCCGGCTTTGCTTCAAATCTGCTGCCATTAGTAGATCTTCCCGCCGCTTTCTGATTCAGATCTTGCATTGAGAAGACATGGCTCAAAAGCCTAATTCGCATGATGGCTAATCCTCTGGTTCTTAAATCTCGATGTAAGCTCATCGCGGGCCCGCTGTCGTCACGGTGTGCCAATTTCTCCGCCACAGTTGGTCGGAGAATTGCAAGAAATTCTCGCAGCAGTTTCAGCAGTCGTTGCACGATGGCAGACACGTCTGGCAGAGATCCGGCTTCGTGAGCCATGGACCTGACTTCAATGGTTGACACTTGAGGCACTCCCCAGAATTTAACACCTGGATATTCATGGTATGCTTCCTGCTAGCGAAATTTAGTGACAGTGCCGGTGGAACCTGTAATGTGCGTGCCATTCGATGGAATCGACGACACTCCTGAATACCACAGCAGGCCAAATCACAGTACCGGGCCATACGCTTTCGTAAAGTGTTCGTACTAGTGTAAACTCAAACTTTCATTTCACTGGCGTTGCAGGGGCATGATGAATTTTGCTGTATAAAGTTCCGTTCCATGCGGCTAGACCGAAGAAGCAAGGTCTCACAAGTATATGAGTACTTATAAATATAAACACCACATCTTCCCCATTCGCGAGTCGCAACGGATTCCTTCTCTAAAGTCGACCGTCATGTTCTCCCTGCTTTTGGGTGCCCTGTGTGCCCTGGCGCCTACAGTTTCGGGAGGGGTCTCATCTAGCGCCCAGCGCAGTGTACTAGGAAATAAGCACGCTCTTGATGCCGCCGCAACGTCGCCTTACTCGATGAATGTCACGGACTGCCCAGGTTAGACCGCTGTACAATGTCTTGGCAGTTGACATTGACGATGGCCTGGGTTTAGGATACACTCTAGGGTCGCTTCAAGAGTCTGACATTGGTCTTACTGCTCAGCTCACACTCGCTGGTCCAGCATGCAATGCATTTGGACTAGATATATCAGACCTCACCATCGAAGTCACTTACCAGTCGCAGTCCACGTACATAATTTCCTGAGTCTTGTGCCAAGTGCAACGCTAATGGCTGGTTTTAGTTTACATGTCAAGATATATGACACTGCCAACCAACAGTTTACAATCCCCGAGTCGGTGATCGAACGACCTGCTGCGCCAACGACATCTTATACAGGCAGCTCTGACCTCATGTTCAACTATGATGCAATGCCTTTCGCATTTTGGATCACGAGACGCTCTGACCCGGACGCAATGCCCTTGTTTGACACGAGAACTTCATCACTTCCGCCGACCCCTATTGCACCTTCCAATGCATCTGATCCAAGTACAGCATTCGATGGTTTCCCTCTCGTATTCGAGGATCAATACCTCCAGGTTACTTCAGCTCTGCCGTATGGCACCAACATCTACGGATTAGGTGAAGTTATTGCCAGCAGTGGATTTAGGCGCGACATTGGAACGGACGGGGGCGTCGGCACCATCCAGACGCACTGGGCTCGCGATGCTCAAGATTTCATTGATCAAAACTTGTAAGTCACATGGCTTGAAATCATCTTTTCACGTGACGAACTCTTCGTCTTCAGGTATGGCTCCCATCCAATCTACGTCGAACATCGGTATAATGTGACAACCGGAAAGGCCTCTTCCTCTGGTGTTCTTTTACTTAGGTATTCTATTCCCCAATTCATCCCAATCCGTCCGTTAATATTATTCCTCAGTGCTGCGGGTTCAGATGTCTTCCTGCAGACACCTCCGAACTCGAAAGTATCATTAATCGAGTACCGTGTGATTGGCGGTATCTTGGACTTTTACTTCTTTTCTGGTCTCACGGATACAGAAGTCATTTCCCAGTACGGTTCAGTCATCGGGTTCCCTACGTGGCAGCCAGCGTGGGGCTTTGGGTTCCACCTTTGCAGGTGATGTTTCCTGCTATGTGATAGAAGAGACTCAACTAAGTTATACGCAGATGGGGGTACCATAACATCAGCGAGGTTAGAGAAGTCGTCGCGCAGATGCGCTTGGCGGACATCCCCCTGGAAGGTCTGGCACATCTATAGTGGGACTCATTGCTCGTGATTCTCAGTTGATATTATAGTTCAATGGAACGATATCGACTTGTATCACGCTTACCGTGACTTCACTACTGACCCAGTCAGTTTCCCTGGGGATGATGTTCGTGAGTTCATCCAAGAATTGGTGGGTGTTTTCCCCAATAGAGTATGTCTGTCTGACTTGGGTGAAAGGCTGCGAATCATCAACATTGTAAGTGTGCTTATACTCTTTCTCTGCTGAGCTTGATCGAACTGCTCGTTAGACATCCCTATTGTCGATGCCGCCATTGCTGTCACAGTGAATTCAACTGACGTTGTAAGTCTCTTGGTATGCTGCGATCAGATACTTCCTAACTGTATTGTTACTTAGTATGATCCTTTCACACGGGGAGTCGAAGAGTGAGTTCTTTGATCTCTGTAATGGACTTGAGCGATGAATGCATTGCAGAGATGTGTGGATTAAGAATCCAGATGGGTCTCTGTACATTGGGGAAGTCTGGCCTGGGTACACCGTCAGTCATTCCAGACCTATGGAACCCCTCTTCAACTAATTTACTTGCTCTGTCAGGTCTTCCCGGACTGGTTCAGCGAAAATGTGCTCTCTGTATGGACCGACAGTCTCAGAAACTGGACGGACATGGGTGTCGAATTCTCCGGTATTTGGCTCGACATGAACGAACCAGCCTCATTTTGTGGCTCCTCCTGGTAAGGCTGGCTTTTGTTCGCGGTCCGTTCGAAGCTGACTGGTGAGAAGCGGGACTGGCGCCAACTTATCTACTCCTCCTCCCAAAGTCGTCGCCGCGGTCGTTACCGGGTACCCTGAATGGTATGGCAGTTTGACCTACAGTAGTGACGTGTTATTAATGATGCTTGATGAAGTTACAATGAAACAGTATGGGGACCTAGTGGGAACATGACTATCAACGGAACCTCTACATATTCATGCGGAGGTAGTTCGGTATCCGTGATAGAAAAACGGGGTGTCGGTGCAGGTGGCGAACAACGCGTCGATCTCAACAGCCCGCCTTATGCCATCCATAACAGTAGATTCATCCCCGTTATACGCCACTGATTCGCTCTGATTCTGAATTCTCTCCAGCGATCGGATCCCTTAACACTATCACTGTGGCGACCAATGCGACGCACTACGGTGGGTATGCAGAGCTCGATGTGCACAACATGTTTGGATTCATGGAGGCGAAGACAACCAACCTTGCTGTTCAATCAATCCTACCTGGAAAGCGTCCGTTTTTGATCGGCAGATCGACCTTCCCTTCTGCTGGAAAGTGGACTGGTCATTGGGTATTTCTAATTCGTTCGGCGGAATATGGTGGGATGTTGACGTCTCTATTAGCTTGGTGACAACTACAGCAAGTGGCAGTATATGTACCTCAACATACAGGGTGTGCTACAGTTCCAGATTTACCAAATTCCGATGGTGGGTGCTGACACCTGTGGCTTCAGTATGTATCCTGCGGAACATAGATCAGTATCTGATTCACAACATGTACAGATAACAATACCAACGAGGAATTGTGCAACCGTTGGATGCAGCTCTCGGCGTTCGTTCCCTTTTACAGGAACCACAATCGCTATGCTGCCCTTTCTCAAGAACCTTACCGCTGGCCAAGCGTAGCAAACGCATCCCGCATCGCCATCGCTGCGAGATACGCCCTGCTGCCGTACTGGGTAAGTATCTACATTATCTCGTGATTACGTTGTTGATAGATATGCAAAGTATACACTCTTTGCCAATGCCTCGATGGCTGGTCTTCCGCCTGTCAGAGCGTTATTCTACGAGTTCCCTGATGAGCCTGAGCTCTTCACCGTGGACAGGCAATGGCTCGTTGGAAGTGACATCCTAGTCACTCCGGTGCTGACTCCCGGAGCCACGATTGTTGAGGGTAATGGACCAAACCTTATAAAACACCGCCGCCACTGACGTACCACGCGACAGGTATCTTCCCTGGTCGCGGTAGTGTAATCTGGCGTGACTGGTACACTCACGCCGTCGTAAATGCAACATCCGGAGGAAATACGACCCTAGATGCCCCCATCAGCCACATCAACGTCCACATCCGCGACAACTCTGCTCTGCTATTGCACCACGAGCCCGGGTACACGACCTACGAGACTCGCGAAGGCCCCTATGCGCTGCTCGTATCACTCAATGCAGCAGGCACTGCATTCGGCAATGCATATGTAGATGATGGGATCAGTTTCCCACCTGGGCCAAGTCGGATCCTGACGTTTCAGGCTGCCGATGACACGCTGAAGATTGAGAGCAAGGGTGAATATGCGATTGAGCAAAAGTTGGAGACGATTGCTGTGCTTGGCGTGCAGAAGCCAACGCAGGTCACGTTGCAAGGATTGCCAGTTGGGGTGTGGACCTATAAGGAGGCGACTGAAGAGCTAGTGGTGTCGAATGCGACCGTCGACCTCAATGGACAATTTATTTTAACATGGAAGTAGTTTCTTAACGCGTTTGTCTTCGGATTCGGACAAGTCGTACAGGCGTGTGATTGGACACATATGCTACACAATGGTCACCAACCAAATGCCACTCGCCATTCGGTACAAGTCCGACTCAGGAGGTAAGTAACGTGAAGTTCCTGCAAAATTGGATGTATATCGTAGGTCCTGCCACGGCAAACGCCGGCTCTGACACCTGTACTTCCAAGTTCCACAATGCGGGGCGAGGAGCTCGTAGATTCAGCGACTCCCTTCCTAAGATATGAAACCACCAGAAAAGATAGTCGGTTTTTTATCATTGTATATTGTGCCATATCCTTTGTCGAGTCTCGTCGCAACAGCTTTGCATGAACAAATTATTGCTTGTATCAGAAGGGACTTGGAATGGTTCCATGATGGTGTAGATTTTAATGTCTAGGTACGAGCCATGGCGTCATGACTATCTTGCCGATGGATTTGATCTGCAGAGCTTCTCTGATGTGTCAAGCGATGATTATGATTATATTATAAATACCATCAACGAGGATAACTCATCACCAAAACTTCAAAAGTTAGGTATTCCCTGATTAGGCTGAATCTTTTGGATCATGGGTGGTGGCTGTTGTGAAGTTCATACCAGATCAAAGAAGTATATGTCCAGATCAAATATTCTTCAATTCCTTTGCCCCTTTCCTGGAGGAACCATGACACTGGTCAAGATATCTACTGGTACTGTTCTTTTCCTCCCATATTGTTGCTCAATGTCATCTGATGCTCCCAACACATGTGTACCTGCCAAGGATCAAGCTTTTGAGGAGGTTCTTGGCCATGGGAGATGCCCCAAAAATCCTGAGCGCATGAATACTCTTATTTGAGCTGAACGTGAAGACAATGATCAGCCTCTGCATCACCATTGCCAGTCTTATTGTTTACCCTGAGAAGACCACCATTATCACCAACAACAACTTCTTTTTGACTCTCCCAGTTGAGGATGCTTCAGATGCTGATGATGGTGATTTCACAGGGGATGGCTCTGAATCCAGCTTGGAGTCATCCTCATCAGGCTCTAACAGTGATATCCAGGAGATAACAAATGTGGAGGTAAGTTGTCTTGTGTTTTTCTTGACTAGTCTCACTAATTATGTAGCTTGCTGCAATGTTGCCCATGAAAACTGTACCACAATGAGGGGGCAACAACACACACCAACTCTGACAGAAAACAAGGTGCAAGGCTGCCAACCAACCTTTTCCTGCAACCAGCAATTCCCAGGCATCCAAGCGCACTTGGGTGGAGGAAGTAGATGACAAGGATAGCAGTAGTAGCTTACAGCATCAATGAGCTTGGCTCTTCCCTGATTATAAAAGGTAAGTTCTTTCTTGTTGTTCATAGCTATTCTGACTCAGGTCACTCCAAAACATTAGCAGGCCAGCAAGCACAATCCAATTTATTACTTCTATGAGCTTGTGGAGATGAATTCTGATGGACAAGCAGATGATGTTGGCAACAAACATTATCTGGGCAACCACAAGGTCCTTACCATCATGTGTGCAATGAAAAGTAGTCTGAATGGTATGTTACATTTTTAAGGCATGTCCTGTTGCTTACTAGTCTCAGGTTTGATTGGTCATCTGAAGACTCATTTTCCACCAATGTATTGACTATGTCTACTCTTAAAGTCCCATGGAACCCCACCTACCAATGATGAACTCAGAATTGCACAGGGAGAAAAGGTGCTTGATGCTACAGCTGCTGCACAATATTTGGTCCAGCTGTAGCAAGTATCAGTAAACATCATTGATGCATTCAACAAGCAGGTCACCAAAGCTTTTGGCAACTAGAACCAAGCCAAGTTTGAAGAGCTGCTCACCCAGTGGCTTGTGGCATGTGACCAGCTGTTTGAGGAGGTAGAATGACCAGAGTTCAAAGCATTCCTAGACTATGTGCATAGAGGCTCCCCACTCCATGTCCCTAGAAAACTTGCCATCAAGTGTCATGTTATGAAGATGGGAGAAGATACTATTGAAGGTGTTAAGGAATATGATTGAGGTAAGTTGAGTTGAGTTGAGTTGAGTTGAGCCAAAGAATAACTAATTATATGACAGAAACTCAAGTCTAAAGTCAGCCTCTCTCTTGACACACAGACTTCAAGTAACCAATTTCCTGGCCATTGTCCTGCATTATATCACAAATGACTGGAGTTGGGGTATGTTGCCAGCTGCTATATCTTGTTGTACTGAATTATAACTGCACATTTATAGAAGAATTTTTGATTGATTTCCATGAGATCATTAGTGAACATAGTGAAGCTAATCTTGCTGAAGTGGTTTGGAATACCTTAGAGCTATATGGACTGAAAAATTGCATCATGGCTGTTGTATGCAATAACACCTCAAATAATGACACCCTACTTCAAGCACTTGGAGAGAAGTGTGCTGATGAAGGAATTGACTTCTCTGATAAGCACTTGTGCATCCACTGCTTGCCACACATTGTCCACTTGGCTGCCATGCAGCTGCTTGAAGATATTGGAGGCATCAAGCCAGATGCAAAGTGAAATCAATGAGTTGCATATCAAGATTCAGTCAGTGCCACTCAATTGTGAGCATGATAACTATGTGGCTCTTCTTGATGAGGCTGAAGATGATACCAATGAACAGCTGGCCAGGGATAACTTTGAGTCATTGCAGCAGGTATTGTCTGTGGTTGAAAAGGTATGTATGTTGGAAATTTCCTAATTGGGTTTCATTGCCTTGTAATGTGTTGCAATGATCCAATGACAAGCCGAGGTCCCAATAGGTTGCAATAAAAGAGTGTGACATTACATTTGTGTTACAATTCATGTTACAATATTGAGTTTGTGTCACAATCGTGCCTTCAATCAGGGTTTCAACCCAGTTAGCAATATTGACCGTCGGCTGCAACTGTCCAAGCTGATTTTGCGGTACCTTGAAATCTAGATCCCAAGGCTTATCCAAATAACCTAAGTGTGTCTCAATGACATTGGAATACAAACAGGCAGGTTTCAATTCAATTCAAATATCATTGAGAGCAAGTAAATCCAATTGCAACTAGCACCCATCCTCAACAAAACATATCAAATAATACGGTAATAGCAGTCTGTAGGTGGCAGTTCTTAATATTACTTCTTCCAGGATCGTTTCGGTCGGCTGGCCTCCTCACCTGCTGGCCCACTCGACACAGGCACCAGCATCCCTGCCTTCCTTCCTTGGCCCCGACGACCAGAGGATGGAGCTGCTGCCACCACTGGTAGAATCTCTACATCATTGGGTGCTTCAGGAACCTCAATAGCGGCTGCTGGAGGGAATTCAGAGGCCGCAGTGACTGTAACAGCAGCTGCACCTGCAGATGCCACAGTTGGGGTCGGAATAGCAGGCAGGAGGGTTGTAGGATTGGGATCTGGAGCGGTGGTAGTTTTTGCAGGGCCAAGCACTGGGATGGCTAGTGCAGCAGGAACAATGACCGGTACTGCAGGTTCAGGAGGGAGGGCTGATTCAGATGCTGCTGGAATGACTATGGGTGAAATGGGGGTGACTGGTCCAGGAATATCATTGTCAGTAGTCGGTCCAGGAAAGTCGGATTCCTTGCACCCTGCATTTGTGATGGCCAAACACATCAGATCAGAGGTAAAGTCTTCGCTGTCAGTGTCAGACGTCGCAACATTGGAAGTCGAGGACAATTGCTAGACGTAGGCGTCAATCTTTTTGCGGATCAAGCAAATACGAGGTTGATCCCAAAGGGTGACCCACAGTTGCTTGTAGGCTGTAAACATGGCAGCATATGGTAGCCAAGACTTTGCGCCAACTCCAGCTTTCGTGAATGAAGTGTTGGGAGAAAGGATGAAGATCAACTAAAGAATAATAGTTAGATGCTGATTCAGACGATTGACTGTAGCAGAAATAGAACTCACTGTGACCCAACCCCATGCCAGAAGACCGGGAGTACAGGATGTTGTGCCCCATTTTCGAGCATTGCACTTAGCATGTGGCCACCCAGAAATGTCTAGTGAATTCTTTCCAAACATCACGATCCTAATTGCCTATGTAGATCTGTTAGCATGAAACAATATTCTTCAAAGAGTGAAGCTTAAAAAATTACCTTTGCAAGCGGTTCCCAATTACCGAACACTGTGGACATTGTGGGGTCCATCTCTTGATTTGTAAAAAGGACGGGCGGAAATTTTGACGGAGAGGAGCGACCACCAGCATTACCTGGTCCAAGGATCTTCTAGATCTCAGGAATGGTATCCCGCTTCATGAAACTCAGGTCAAAGTAGGACGAATCCAGACCGAAGATACGCCCTGCCATCAAGCATAGTTTGCCGATCTCACTTGAGTGCCCACCTTGGAGATGCTGCTCTAGCTACAGTACATATCAATCAGTGTTTGGTTGCACAATGAAATATATGAACTAATATACCAATGATTTAAAATGAGAAGTAGGTATGAAATGATGGAGGTGATCCGGTAGAAGTGAATACACCTCTGTCACAAGACAAAGTTCTTCGGCACTCTTGCTTGCATAGTGACTAGCAGATATGATGATGGGCGGAGGGTTTGGCACAGGCAATCTGAGAACGTGGTGCTCAGGTGGGAACATTTCAGCAATAACACCATATTTGCAAGCAAAGGTCAAGAGTTCAACATTGTAAGCCTTCAGCTCGTCGGGAACTTGTGCACTTGAACGTCGACGTTGATTGGATGCCAAGATTTTGTTCTTCTCTCCCAGAGTCCTATTGTTATTTTTAAGCGACTGGTTTTCTAGTTGCAGACTTCAAATGATCTTGAGATGCACAAAGTTAGAGTCACCAAATGTGAGCGAAGCAAGGCATTAACATTACCTCCATGTCTCCACCCTGCACAGAAGCTGATGACTGAGTGGTTGATGAGATCCCTACTGTGACAGATGAAAGTGCATCCAATTCAGATACATCATTGTAGTCTAACTCAGACTCTGAGTCATCATGTGTGATGGGACACTGAGGCATCACGAGAACTGGTACAGTCAAGTAAAACACAGTGTGGAAAATAATGATGGATGGACCCACCATTAATAGTCGAAAATATTGGCTGTGCAACTTGGACCGGGACCAAACAACATGATGAAAGAAAACACAAGGGCAATTACATCGTGCATTGCCTTGACGTGTAATTGAAATCAGCATACGGGTGAATGACAATATGACACGATGCAACTTACCTGTGTGGCACCATCTCTAAGTGCTGATGGCCAGCTGGCATTGAAACTTAAATGCACCATTGGGACCGATGATGATGTTAAACAGTCTAAGCGCTGTTTAATATTTAAAACCGAGAGATTCAGACATCATGCTATTAGCTCAACATGCTTTGACCTAGAAGACTAATGATGCAGACTCACCTGCACTTGCTTGACATCCATTGAATGTGCTTGAATTGTGGTCCCAATTGGCTTGGGACTAAGATTGAGAAGTTGCAATATTGAACATTGAATTCAACCAGTGAACTTAGTGAGAAAACGTGATTAAATGCTGACATAATCATATTGACAATCCATTGAAACGCACCTTTTTAGCACGTGGTATGAATGAAAATCTCAGAGGATGGACTAGATATTAGTTTCGGTAGGACATAACTAATACCGTAGTAGTTACAGTGAACACGGTATTCAGAACACCTGCACCTGTATCAGAATACGAGCATGGTATCCGTACGGTGCAATCAAGTTGCATTGGCATTACTACTGCCACCCACATTTGCATTGGTCGTCCCCCGCCGTTCTACACGCTTCATTTTTTTTCTGCAGCGGTTGCATATGGTACTGGGCCCTTCTGGCCCAGGTCCCCATTTTTCTATGCACCTGCTGTCTTTGTAGTGTCCTGGTAAACCACATTGGCAGCAGATGTGCTGGCCGATTGAGTTGGTTGGGGGGAAAGAGGTGGTGGGAGGAATAGTGGGTGGAGTTGCTGGTGTGATGGCAGGGATGATGGCATTAGGAGATGTTAGTGGGGAGCCATTGTGAGCTGGCGCTACATCATCAACTCAAGATCCATTCATGAAAAAAGGCACGCACTGATATTTGTGCTTGACCCTGGGGTGCCTGTGATGGCAGGGGAAAAATATGGGTTTGATAGGTCCTGAGTTCGCCAGGTTGATCTAATGGACCTAGTGGGATACCCTTGGACTGGGGGGCAGCCAACACAGCACGGGGAGACTGTGGCTGTTGGTCACAGGCATTGAGAGCACTCCTTTCATCAGTGGCAGCATCAAGGAGGTAGGTCCTCAATGTCCTGTGAAGTAGCACGGACACGGGAATTGGGATTGGCTGCTGGATTGGGAGTGAGATTTATGAGTAGGCCGAATGGTGAGGTGATGGTTGAGGTGTTGAATTTGAGGAAGCTGTTGGGGGAGGGGGAGTTACAGTAGTTACAGTCTGAGGTGCCATGTATCGCAAGATGGAAGAAGACCATAATGGCAAGAAATGGGTTTGCTCTGATGAGGATCGAGGTGGCTATTAGTCTAAGGCAGGGATTCAGAGATAAGGGAGGAAGTAAGAATCCAACCACTGGCTGCGGATGTCCTGCATTCGAAGGAACATATCCGTGTCAACAACCAAAGACTCGTCAGGTCTGCTGGCATCCTCTACTATCATACAACCCTGAATAATTGAGTGAACTGAAAAAAACTCTGTGGAAGCCCTAGGCTTTGTCTTAACCCGCCAAAACTGAAAGTCTTTGTCCTTTTGTGGATGAACACCAACCGGTTGGTCATATGGAAGAACGAGCATGATAGGATACTGAACATCCCCTACCGTACAGGTGAAAATCAACATCAATTTGCCAAAGGTGATGCGAGTGTCGGTCCGCAAGATGATACAATCATATCATGGTGAGCCGTGGAACATCGGCGTGCATCGAAGGTAGTCTGTTGACAAACGACTCAAAATTGACTTTAAGGAATCAATATTCTGTGATCTGAGCAGGACTCAGAGTAAGATACAAATTATATCATTTCGGAGCTGCAAACATCATCAACTCACCATCTCACTGGCAGTCAGTTGGATCTGTCGTCCATCTGGAAATGGTATCTTGTTGGCGGCAAATGAATGGTTCAGAAAGCTGTTTAGCTTGATCCAAAATCTGCCAAATGCTGGGTTACCCGCACTACCTGCCTCGATGTCTATGAATGACATTGCTGCCTGCTTTGAACCAAGACTAAAATGCTGTGCATCAGTTGGTTCTGTCAGATCAACTTCATCGGCCTCCAGTGCAGTATCAGGTTGATCTTCTGAATTGGATACACTGAGATTCCAAGTGTTGAGGTAATCCAACTTGCCACAAATATATTCTGCAACCAGGCTGTCATGGTTGTATTGGAGAATCTTTAAAATTTAAATTATCACACAGACTTGGATTCAGAAATCGCTTACCTGTTCAGCAAAGTTCTTGAAATTTGTGCGATCTTGATAAGTGTCTTTCAATGGGCCATGCATTTTCTCATTAGGCTTGGTGCTATAGTTTTGGGAGACACCTTTCACCTCAATATCATTGAAGAGATGGGCAGAAAGATGTTTCTTAGGAAAATTCCAGGACTTCTCACAAATCTCTGCTGTATCTTCAATGTATTTCTGATTGTAAAATTTGAATCAACACCATGGATCAATAATATACTAGTATGAGGGATACATACATCCAACAATTCAGTGAGCTTTGACAAAGCTTCTTGGCCATCTTTGATGGTGTCTTCAGTATGGACCTCTAATGAAGCATAGATATTAAACCCTACATAGCTTCGGATACAACAGAGCAGGAGATATGCCTCTGGATCCATATCACAGTCAAACACATTATGTGCTGCAAAGACGATAAGCTAAATTGATGTGAATAATATGTCAAAAAGTGAATAGTCTAGGCTTGCCTTTGATATGTCTTCATATTTTGTTCCATCAGAAAATGATACTGATATAACCTGATCGAAGTGATTCAGGTTTCACCAACGTGGAACTGATTGAAAGCTGACAATCTAAATTAATGCCTACAAAAATCCAGCTGAAAAAATGACTCACAAGCTGTCAATCTGCACAGCAGCCTGTCAACCAGAATGTTCGACCCATTTCTGCAGTTTGGCCCATGTGTGATCACTGAACAATCCCTCGTTGTTGAAGTGGAGTTTATCATGAGATAGAGCCCTGTGAACATCGGTGTGCTCGAGGACATCAAATGAGCTCTGATAACAATGGTAGATTATTAAGTAAAATACAAACAAAAGAGAGACCCACATCAACATTACGAAGGCTCTGGGAACTCAAGATCTGCTCCCTTGCCTGCAATGTAGTAGACTCTTGGGCTCGAGCACATAATGCCTTGGTATCTACGGATGTGCGGAGAGGATACACATTAAGTGTATTAGAAAGCTCGTTGTGAGGCACTAGACAGATAGGGCAAGGAAATTTGCCCATCAAACCACGAATCAATGCCATTACAGCCCTACAACAGTGAACATATCCAGATGTTATCTAATAGTACCAAAGGAACTAATAGAATTATACATACTGTTCTTTGTAGTCTGCAGAGAGTATGAGCACAATTGGATAGAAAACACGAATAACATTGTCCCAGCATTTAATGGCAGAACCGAACTTTGATAGTGGTGCAAGACAGGCAAGAATCATCAGAAACACTGCGTGCCATACCGCATTCTTGAAGTTGACAAAAGCAGGCTTTCCGGAATGCTTCTTATCTTCCTTTACCTGTCAAAGCTCTGAGTGTTAATAATGTCAGCATCATTGGCAAGGAATTGTAGAGCAAACAATAGGTAGCCAACCAACAACACGCCCCCCACCCAAGCCTTCTCCATTCCAAACCACAATAGGAAGATTAGCACAGTGAGCAACTACAGGATAACCTTTTGCACGACCAAACAACGATAATTTGGCCTTGTCGGCATACAAAATAAATGCAAGAGGTTTTGCGTCTGGTGGGATTTTCAACTACAATATTAATCCTCAGTTGGTACACAACGCAGACACTTAACAGGATATTAATAAGGACATGACCTACTTGATATTCCCAGAAATTATTCGTGGTCCACAGCTCATGAATGAACCAAACGAACTTCTTGCTGTCAAACTTCGAAAGCCTTTGGGGATTGAAGACGAAATGCGGACCTACTTGTGGATCTTGAAGTAGATCTGTAGCCCAGTCCCACAGTGAGCGATGAAATAATGGGAATGTCTTATCGATCCCTTGGAAGGGCACGACGACTTCCTCCTTTGTAAACTATTACATGAAAGGAGCACAATAAGCATAGACTTTACATACAACATTAATGAATAGTACATACAGGTGTCATTTTGAATGATGCTGCCTCCCATGTGTCTCACACATCTTTGTGATTCCAGAGGGTAAACAATTCGAACCTACTGCGATGAACAAGTTCAATGAGCTGGTCCAGCTGCTCGTAAGAGAGTGCAGCTTCGTGGGCAAGTTCCGCAACCTCAAAGTTGATACGAGTGCAAAATGGCTTCCAGGGCTCAGGATCTGCTTTCGGAACAGCTGTTGGGGCACTGGCACCATGACCATAGTCCTCGAAATGGTACACTTGGGTAGGGCGACCACTACTGGGGTGGTATTCCACTTTTATATCATCCACATCGTGTTGAGGTACAGGTGATGCTGTTGCAGATAGTAGTGGAAGATCTATATGGATGTAAGTTGCAAACACAATAACACAAAAAAAATCATAAAGACATACAATCGGAATCGGTCTGCCCCACGTCAGCGTCGTCTGGATAGTCAATCTGATTATCAAAATCGAAATCGACATCCTCTGAATGATTGATGGTAGCTTGCATCAATGTCCGATGAATCAGTATTAATATGATGACTTACAAAGAGATGAGCCACTGACAGATGGATGTTCACCGATAAACACACTACTCTGTTGTGCCTGTTCTTGTTCTACAATTTAAAAATTGGTTGACGAGCATGAAACCATAATAATGTTATAGACAACGTACCTCAACAAATTTCCCTAGCAAGCTCTATCTCCTCTCGCCTTTGTTCTGATTGCTTCTGGCAAGCTTTTTTGTGTGTTCGGAATCCTTGGCGATGGAAGGATTGGCCACAATGATCACAGGATCGCTGCAAATCGGCAGGCATCTATGTTGAAACAGGAACAATTCAAGTTCAGTCTAAGTGTAAGGGCACCTGGTACAGGAATAGTGTACTTTGATGGAGAAGCACTGGCGGGTGAAGCTTGAAGGATCTGAATCAGTTAAGGGCTGGCAGACTAACATTTAAATTATTATTACCAGGCGAAATTCTAAATTGACAGTCTAAGATCCAGATGGTAATATTCAGATGAATCAGACACTGTTTGTCTCTGATTCGGAGGCAACTGTAACAAGTAGAGTGGAAGATACTAACAAGGGCTGAAGTTGATGGTGAAGGAGTGTTGAGAGGATGGTGTGGCAATAATTGATTGTTGGCAGTGCTTGTTGGAACAACATTGTAATTGACGTACTAAAGTCAAGACCCGGTATCAATAGTACACGTCAGTATCAATGAAGTGACTTTGGTATAAATATTACTACTGGGCATTAAGAATAGAACTTAGGTACCGATATCTTGACTCGGTATCAATATGGTTGAAACCGAGTCTCACAGGCACGCTGTTGCAACCGATTAGAAAATTTCCGACATATGCTGCACAATACATATTCTACTGCTAAGACAAAACTAGCTTTGAAAAATTGTTTGTTCTGTCTGTTCAAGCCCACAGTGATGGAAAGCATGGCTTGCAGAAGTCACAATGTCTCTTAAGAAGGCTGAGAATGCAATAAGTCAAGTTTACCTCATGCTCATCTTGGATGTCAAGACTTGTTGGTCATTCACACATCAGATGCTATGTTGGGCACTTGATTTTCATCAAGCTATTGACAACTTTGTTGTGAAGACTTGTGACCTCAGGCAATATGAACTCTCTGACACCAATTGGGCAGGGATTGAGCTAGTCACATAATGGTGAAAGGCCTTTTGCTCTGCTACCACTCAAATGTCCACAAAAAAGTGCCCCATGCTATCTTCTACACATGCAATATTCCATGGACTTCAGGAGTTACTTTGAGATGACTTGGCAGAGCTTTCAGATTCAGCCCCAGTGAAGCTGTGGTTTGCACTGACCAGTCTCATTATAAGCTTAGTGATTATTACTTCAAGGTTGATGAGTCACCTTTCTATGTCTGGGCTTCAAGTATATCATCTTTCATTGTGAGTCAGTTTGGCTAGCTAATTATCTATTCTATTCTGTGTATTCTGAAGTTCTTGACCCCTGCAACTCGTACTATGGACTCCACAGTGACTGTGGGGATGATATCACTACACAAATGCATATTGAGATGCAGAAGAGCAATCTACATGCTCTTTATAAACAGCAGTATGCTATGGTGGTGGTGCAATCAGTCTCTTCATCATCTCCCACTGAAACACACCCTTTAAAGAATGCTGGGAAGTCTCCAATGAAGGTCAACTTCACAGCAAGGTACAAGAAGCAATCAAATATTTCAATAGATGAATTTGAGCAGCACTTGAAGCTCCTGCAGGAGGATTTTGATACCTGTGATCTCATTCAGTGGTGGGTAGGCCACTGTGCACAATTTCCAAACCTTTCTCATCTTGTGTGTGATATTCTTTCAATCCCTGGTGAGTGTAGTATAGCCTATTTGAAACATTCATATTTAATTATTGTCTTCATACTGTTTGCGGGGTCTGCTGTTGCTGTTGAACAGATTTTTTCTGGGGGTCAGGACACAGTCTCTATGTGGTGTACAAGCCTTAAGCCTGAGACCATCAAGACACTAATGCTGGTGAAGGCAAAGCTTTGTTTGGCTCATGCTGCAGTCAAAGACCTCATTTAGTGTTTCATATGTACTGTATGCTACCATATATAGCCATAAAGTATGCTGTACCATACTGTCAACATATTTTTTTCAACCATAATAGATGGTTATTGTTTAACTTCATATGGTGGCACACTGTATATGGTATGGTGAACAGCCCTACCGGTGTGCATGTTCAATGTATGTTCTCCTTGACATACAGAGACTATACAGCAGACTCCTACACTCCTGCCTGGTCATACCAGCAGGATGTGCTTACATCACCACCCTGGAAGCTATGCTTGGAATATGCAGTAACTGTCCATTCATGCCACACCATAATGTTTGACATCTCAATGCAGACCTTGCATAGTGGCAATTCAAGCTTGCCTAACCCCCTGTTAGTCACTCAATATCACAGCCCTCTTCCCTCATCAACATCCACACATTTTCTGATGCCAGCATATCTGTCAGAATTGCAATTGTTGTTAATGGGCATTGGAAGGCCTGGACTCTATGATCAGAATGGAAAACACTTGATAGCCAGCAGGATATTGAATGGGCTGATGTTAGATACTGTGCTTGGATGGAGAAGCAGAGGGGTTGGGGCTTGGCTTCAGCTCTTACATTGCACCTTTAGCTGAGTATGTGCCCCAAATTTGGAGCGGAGCTGATGTTGTCTAATGATAGGATGAGAGGACCACTTTGGTCTGCTTGGGGTTCAGAAAAGTAAAGGCTACTAGTGGCAGGCTGACTAGTAAGTGGGCGGATGAGGCGGAGGAAGTAAGTTGGAGGTGGAAAGGAACAAGGGGATTGGAGGTATGGATTATTGGATGGAGGGGACAAGAGGTAAAGACTTAAAGTGCAGCTCTAAGTTGGAGCAGAGAAGTGGAGGCAACAACAAGGTGAGACTTGTGTCTGGAGGTTGAGCAAGGTTCTATAGAGAATTCCCACAGTAGAAACTGGAGAAGACAAAGTAATATTAAGACTGAGGAATCTAGATTAAGTACAAGATATCTTATATACTCTAGGTAGCAAGGCAGTGATCAGTAATGCATAGCAGAAGTCTATGTGCTGAGTGTACAAAATGTAAGTATGATTATATGAGGAAACATAAGGGTTGGAGTGGATATCAATATGTACAAGATAGATCAGTAATCGGATGGCTATAGGAGTAACTGGTGATCTGAGAAGAAGAGCTATGTACTGAAAGGGGAAATTATATTACTAATGGGGAAAGGGGTCCAGTTGAATGAAACTGATACAGAAAGTAAACTGACTGAGGTGGTGGAGCAGGAGCACTGGGGCAGGGAACAAGCAGAGTGGAAGTAAGGGGAAAGTGGAATAATAGGGTCGGGTGGAGTGGATGTGAATGATATTGGGAGTAGTTGGATCCGGTATATGACAGCTGAATGTGTTGGCTTCAAGCTCCTCATTCATGCCATTCTCAATGGCTGCCATGGTAGACCACTTCATCACTTCTGCATTTTCTGTAATAACCAAGGAGTCGTTAATGGTTGGAAGAATGGCTGTAGTTGGAACTGGGCAACCAACCTCATATTCTGTCAGATCTGTTAGCAATGAAGTTTAATTTCACCTCAGTTATGTCCCCTACAGGAACAACTTGATAGATGGACCCTCTAGGGGCATCTTTCCCCCTTGTCATTTCCTCTTGCCACCTATCTCTCTTTCAGATGACCTCACAAAATACCTTGTTGATGCTGACATGTCAGCCATGCACCTCAGCTCCCACATCATCAATCAGAATACAAGCCCTGATGGGCTAGTTAATGAGGCAGACCTCAAGAATTGGGGAGATCGACTCTTCCAATTCTGCAATGTCTGGCAAGACTAGGACCTCCTGTTTTGTTGACATTACTCCCATCTCCTTAACCAGCCTAGTACTAAGCTCAGCCTTGTCCTTACTGCCCTGCCTTAATGCCTCCAGCATTGGACCTGAGGTCACATTGATTGGCCCAAGATCAATTATGGTTGTAGGTTCCTGCTGTGTCACAATCATGCTTAGACCACATAGGTTCTACAGTGGCAATTTTGAAGAGTGATCTAGACTGTATTTTGACTGTGATTGCCCACTTGCATGCTCCTAGTATGATGGAAACATATGGCTCAGGTTTATTAGTATTTCATGTTTTTTTTTGCGACTCATGCAGCATTCCAGAGTTTCAGTGTTGTCTAGCTCTATCCATCCTTACTCTTGCCTTCATTGCTTCTTGTGCAGGCATGTACTCTGGCAAGACCCTTGAAAATCACCCCTACTCTGTTTGAGTGTGGCATTTACTGTATGGACAGTCTTGGCTCATCAATCATGACCAAGTGTCATCAGCATTGAAAGGTGGAAAACACCTTGCCTCTTCCACTCCCCTTCATGCCACTGTCTATACTTGCCTCACCACTTCTTTCTTTACCATCACACACATGGGGGAATTTACTGTGCTGATATTGCAGAGCTTTGATCTGCTGGCTCATGTTATAGTGAGTGACATAAGGAATGAAGCTGATAGACATGGGTTCCAGGTCACAATTTTTCATTTACCACATACCAAATTCATGATCGCTGAGGAAGAAGTATATTAGGCAGCACAGTCTGAGGTAGAAGACCTGCAAGTGGCTCTAACCAACCACTTATCTATCAATAGACTGGCCACTTCTGAAGCTCTTTTTAGCTGGAAACATCACACCAGCATGAGACCCTTGATAAAGAGTCAATTTCTTACAATTAGCAAATGATTGGCTAGGTGGCGAGCCATTGAAGGCTCATGGGATTAGGATCGAGGTCACCCTTGAGTACTTGTTATAGGGTGTGCCCTTCAAATCTGTCAGAACCATATCTAATAGGTAGGAAGGAGGTTATAGAAGGGCTTAGCTTCATCTCATGTGCTGTGCTCCTTATGTGAGTATGGTGCCCTTAACTTCAAAGGACAGATAGGGGGCTTACCAAAGGTCAACTCTGACAT